GAGAGAGAGAGAGAGAGAGAGAGAGAGAGAGAGAGAGAGAGAGAGAGAGAGAGAGAGAGAGAGAGAGAGAGAGAGAGAGAGAGAGAGAGAGAGCTAGCTAGGCCAACAACGCATGTCATCACACTGAATTCAACAAACCTGATTTTAACAAAGTAACAAAGCCGACTCAACGGTGAAATTTTCCCTTCGTCTGATCAAGTGGTCCTGAACATTTCACAATTTTCAAAAGAACTGTTGAACTGTTGAGAACCACTCGGCCAAAGAGGAAGCCGCAAAATCAGTGTAGAGTGAACGCCATAGATCCGGCATCTTCGAAACCTGCCTGGAAAAACAAACATTTGAAATCGAGATTCTCCGTTTTTAAGAGATGATCTTCGCACAGACGAACTGCACATCTCTTTCCGAAAACACGATGCTTTTATAGAGAGCAAAAGGAATGATGATCCTGCCGGTTGGACTCGTCAGAGAGGTTCTTACCATGCGTGGGTTAGTTCTCCCTAAACCTGCCTGCTTGACCGGTTATGAGCACGCCTTTCCTTATGAGAAAACCCCACTTTTTGCACAGTTTTCGAGTTTACTCAGATCAGTAAATTGGTGAATTTAATTGTTTGAGTGTCTCCACTGTGCTTATTTACTCATAAATAAATTATTTACTCAATTTACTTAATGAGTGAGGAGTTTAAAAAAAAACATACATCATACATGCATGTCAGATGAGTTTGCACTGTTTTCAACCTGGGTTTTCAACCAGCAGTCACTGGAGAAGAGATATAAACTGTAACTTACTGTAACATGAAGAAAATATTAATATATGCATATTATTGTACTATACACATATTAATGCAATTTTATAGTATAGCATTTGTTGTTCTGCCTTTAACTCAAAATTAATTGATAGTAAGTGCAAATCAAAGCAAAAGAGTAATTTACTAAATTAAATTACAATTGGGGATCAATTGTCCTGAAAATACAATTTAATTTTATATATAAATATAATATACTGTATATACAGTCTTGGTCAGAAATATTGGCACCCTTGGTAAATATGAGCATTCCTTAAATAAGAAACTATTCCTTCATATAGAATCTCCATGTTGATACACTCTCCATTTAGGGTTCAGATCAGGGGACTGGAATGGTCATGGCAGAACCTTCATTTTGTGACCCATTTTTGTGTTTATATTGATATTTGTTTTGGATCTAACCACGGCCCATTATAAGATTTCTAGTAAAGGCTGTCAAGTTTTTATTTTTTTATCTGTTGGTATTTGTTAGAATCCATGATACCATGTATCTGAACAAGATGTCCGGGACCTCCATCAGAAAAATAGGCCCACAACATTAAAGATCCAGCAGTATATTTAATCGTGCACATTTTTTTTTATCCCTGTGTGCACTGAAACCATCACTGGGTTTGCTGCAATTTGCTCTTTTTTTTTAGTTTCATCTGACCATAGAACCCCGTCCCGTTCAAAGTTCCAGTTGTGTCTGAAAACTGAATATGCTGGAGTTTATTTTTGAATGGAAGCAGAGGATTTTTCTTGAAACCCTCCTAAACATCTTGTGGTGATGTAGGTGTAGGTATAAAAAAAATTATAATTTTTTTCTGACCCCAAGACTAAACTATTTTCTGCAATTCTCCAGCTGTGGCCACTCGAACGATCCTCCTTGCAGCGCATTAAGACACGCAGGCAGGCGACTTCTTAATTATTGCCCTGATGTTGGAAATGAGCATTTTCAAAGCTTTAGCTATTTTCTTACAGCCATGTTCTGCTTTGTGAAGCTCAACAATCTTTTGCTTCACATCAGAACTATATTCTACTCATTATGATGAATTATTAAGGGAATTTGGCCTTTGTGTTACCTCATATTTATACTCCCCACATTCCTTAGTTTAATTTAAATGAAAGGTTAGATTTTCGTGATATTTTTTTTAATGAAAGATCAAAAGGATAAACAATGCAGATTTATTTTCACATGCAACCACCTTTGATCATATTTACCAAGGGTGCCAATAATTCTGACCACGACTGTATATATTCTATTAGATAATGTGTAACCTACTATTAAGAATTAAAATGTTTGGCATTGTACCCACTCCCCATTGTACCCAATATATATATAAATGTATAAAACTGACTAATTACATAAAAAACATATGATGACTTATACGATTGGTGCAGTAATGCACCATTAAGCTGGTTGCCAGCCGCTGTTAAAAACCAAGAAGAGTATTGTTGCTTTGACAATGTATTAGTTCACCTTCTTGCTTAACATTACCAGATGATTAAATATGATCAAATAGTATATAACTGAGAGAACACATTTAGATATATTCAGCTTGAGAATATAATATGGTAGTGATAAATACATTTAAAACAGCATTGGAACACGTTGCAATTTGCTTATCATCATGCTTATCAAATGCATATCATCATATTGTAAATAAGAGAGAAAAAATTCAATATGAGAGTACAAAAATGTTGTATTGAGAAATATGAATAGACTTAAAATAACAATCGCCTTAATGTTTAAGACTCTAAAAGTTTAAAGCTGATGTCACTGTATTCTTTAAGAAAGGATTCACTCTGGATTCAAAAAGACAAATGAATGCCATTCTACAGGATATACTTGTAAAGATGTCATCTTTTAACATGCAAAGTCTAATCAGAGGCTGTTGTTGACACGGCAGACCTGTTCTTTGAGGTCACAGTGAAACTAGCCTAACTGCTAACATTCCTCTGCGTTCAGAAGAATAGATGTGATGGGGGGCCATGTAGCATAAGAGGGCATTTTTAAATCATACTAAATGTGTCAACAACATAAGTATAAATACATAGGCTATAAATTCACAATCTGAAATATGAATAAACAATGAGTTCTATGAAGCTAAGTACAAAATTACAATGACATCTTAAATATAAACCAGCCTTAGAAGAAATTTACTCAAAAAAAATCTATAAAATCTGTACCTAAAAACTTGCAAGTAACTGAAGCACACAGTGATGTTCCACTCTTATAGAAAAAAGGTGGTTAGGGTTCTTGATTTTTAAAGAAGCCTTGCATGTCAAAAAGGTTCTGTTTAAATAGAAATGTCTTAATATCTGCATAATACTTTCATATTTAATGGGTTATTTCGTTTTTTTCTAATGAAAAAGTATACTTACTAACTGTTTAATTCATAAAATGTCATTAAAATAAAATTACAATTAAAACAAAATGAATTAACTAAATCCATAAAATAATCCCATGATGGGACCCCTATATGTTCTATTTAAAGCGCCTGACAGAACCTTTTAAGTTGCTATATAACCTTTTTTTTTCAAAGAGCAAGTTTTGGCTAAACTTGCTTGTGAAGTAGAGCTAGTTCCGGTGGTAGCATCAGATCGCATTTCTTTGTTTGTTTTTTGAAGGCTCACAGGACTGAGGTGTTTGCAGGCCAAGTATTTTACCTAAAGTGCATGTAATGTGGGATATCTTCAATCTCCTATAAGATTAACCCACATAGTTCAATGAAACTTGAAATGAAATCGGAGCCTATAAACTGTATAGGAAACAGTCACAACATAGAAAATTTGTATAGTTTTCTTTGGCTGCTAAGCAACCATGTTATATCAGGAAACAGCAAACTGGTAAAAACTGGTCTCAGATGACACAAATGCTATCTATGAAGTCATCTTTAGGCCAGTATAGAGAAATGGGAGGGAGATAAGTGGAATGCTGTCTGTACTGAACTGAACCATCGCTCCTCCACATTCTTATTCTCTGAGAGGATCGGTGACATTTTTAGCCTCTGTGACAGATCTGTATCAAAGCAGCTCTTTCCTGTGAAAATTAAATATCCAGTTTGTTACCGACAGCCCATGTTCTTTGAAAACTGTCAACTTCACATAATCATTGTCGCAAGTTTGTTCAGAACTTATAGACTAAAGAGGAAACGTGCATTTCTAAGTAATGGGCATGGCCTTCTTTATAAAGTTTTTAGTGTTTTGTTGAAATATGATTTATTTTATTTTATTTGAAAACTGCACATGTACACATGTATTACCATTCTGTATAATTTTGCTGAATCATCAGGATGTTTTAAGAATATAACTGAGGGTTCATGTTAGGAAATGGTTGAAATATTCTGTCAAGTTAGCTTTAGATTAGATTAGATTAGATTAGAAAACTTTATTGATCCCCATAAGGGGAAACTAATTTGCCACCATTGCACTTTACAATTAAACATTAAAAACAACAACAGTCAATTCATGCAAGAAATTACACAACTTCATTAAAAAAAACCTAACTGCAGTATAAACATTTTTTTTCTGTCAACATTTTAATGTCACATCTGATGTAAAAATTGTGTACAGTATAACCAAAACATGGCCAATATTAAAATGTTAAAATCTATGCAATTTCGTCCATATAAAGGTAAAAAACTAAAAGCTAAACTGATCTGTTTTAAATGCTAAAGGTTAATTTAGACATCACAACATTTATAATGTACAGTATGAAAAATAGATATTCATTTTGTTATATATTAAAGTTTGCTAAAACAAATTTGCTGTATGTGTAGCAACTTTATTTTTCAGCCACTTGGTGGAGATAGAGACAATGAAACTGCAAACCCATATACATGCTGTGATAAATGGTAAGTTCCACTAGCACATGCCTTGAAGACAGTACAGCTTAAGCTTTACATAATAATCAGAATAAAAATAATAAATAGTTTTGCTGATTATTATTTAAGGTGTTTGAGCTTCTATAAGACGGGTATCTAAGAACCTAATAATCAGCACGGATAAAATTCCAGTTGCATTTCAAAACAGTATTTATTTACCACAATAAATTTTAGGTTTCCCATTTTTAAAATAAGTTATAATGTAAGGGACCAGCAATAATAAGGGAGAAGCAATCGAATATTTTGTCAATCTAGTGTGTGTTGGCTACAGGCAAAAGACTGTACAAAAGTGAGGACAAACTCTGGTCCTAGGTAAAAGAATAAAGCCGCATTAAGATCCATTGTTCAATTTTATTTCTGATTATATTCCCATGTACAGTAAAGGCAGTACAGTTTCTATTTGCAGTCGACTTTACATTTCACAACTGAGTGAACTTGTAAAGCAATGAGATCTCCTCATTAACGCTTTTCTGAGTCTCCTAATGCATGAGATACAACACAATATCTCACAGGCAGTCTTATGCCCTATACTGTAAAAATAAGAGTGAATATGAACATGTGATAATTCCATGTACAGTTTGAAGAGAATTCTGTCAGGGTGCTGTCTAAAGAACAACAGTGGAAACAATTTAACTCTGGATTCAGCCTTGTGTTCCATGAACATTTATTTAATGAACATAATTTGAGTTAAATAATCTAATTACTAAGACGCATATCTAATGTTTGATAAATGTTTTATACAAAAATACATTTTATCTTGAGGGATTAATTCTGCTCTCAGAAACTAGCTCATGCATTGTAAATGGACTAAGTGAGATATGTACAGTATGTTTAAATCATGGCGTTCCTGTTGTACATATAAGAACCCCTCTGTAAAGGATGACCTAGCAAGAGCTCCTTCTCTTGAACTAGACTGTCTAGCAGCTCCTGTTGTCGGTGGTTATGGTAAACCTTCAGGAAGGCTATCACTGTTAGACCCAGCCAGCATAACCAGGCCGACCACAGGCCAAACTGTGGAAAAAAGAAAATATTTACATATCACATATTACGGATATTTTAAAATACATACTGTCAAATCTCAGCTTGTGAATGTAATTTTATATTACTTGTGGATGAATGTTTACCTGTGCAATGGCAAACTGGTCATAAAAGGAGGAGTTGTCAACACCGAGCTCTAAATCTGTGTCTTGCAGATCCTCACAACTGCCAAAGAGAAATTAACCAAATTTAAAGCAGAAGTAATACAAAAAGTGACTATATTTTGAAACTATTTACAATAACAGCCATCCCAATATTTATTTTATATCTTATATATATATATATATTATACAGTACACAGTATACACATACACACACAAATTGTAGACAGTCAGCCAGTAAATATCTGCAGTGCAGTACTTGTGATATTGCTTAATTCTAACTAATTCAAAAGGGTTAAAACCCGTCTACCTCCTCGGCATGGCCCCATTTTCAGTGACAGCATCACACCATTCACTGAAGCCAACACTGGAGATAGTTCCGGCCACAAACACTATAAAAACCACCAAGAGGGACAGGAGAAGATTCAAGAAGGCATGAAAAAGAGAGCTGCAAAGAGATGAGGACAGAAAAGAACATCATTTACTGCTTGAAACGTTGGGGTGATTTAATAATCAATTTGATGGAAGTGCTTACTAGTCGTGGCCTTTGCAGAGGAAGAAAAAGGTCCGCCACGCCTGTACGGCCGAGAGGATGAGAGACACGATGCCCACGAAAGTGATGAAGCGGCAGGACGACTCTGGTCCCCATTCTTCAACTATAAAGCGCTGTTTCCCCATCGTCATGTTCTCGTTTTGCCACATTCCCTCAGTAAACAGCAGGCATTTCCCCTGAAAGTCATCGCCGTTTTCAGATAGAGGCACAACGGCGATAAAACCGAAAATAAATGCTAAAAAATAAAGGATGCACTGGCCAAAGAGAAAATTATCGACGGCCATCGTCCCGGCAACTGCATTTTGCTATTGCGCATGACGGTGAATGTCAGCATCAGGCGCGTCGTTAGACATGGGCATTCGGGGCTTCAGCCCCGGATGTTTTTTTTTTTAGCCCCGGATCTCAAATTAATTTATTGATAATTATTATTATTTTTTAATAATTTTGTATTTATAAAAAAAAAATGACCGGGTCTTTTAATCTATCCTTCGAAATCATGCATTAAAGACGATTAAAATGTGTTCAAGCAGATCAAAGTTACTATGGTTACTATAGTTACAGCACGCTTGCATTTAGAGTGCGCACCAGAGGAGAGAGAAAGAGCCATCAGTTAACTTACACCTTTAGGGCTTGACTGTCATTGTTGTTTGTGGCTTCTGGTGGTAGCTATTATGGACATTAGCGGGGGAAGGTATACTATATACTATATATAGTATAATGTGAGATAGAAATAAAAATTTAAGTCGTTAAATTCAAGATCACGTAAACGTTTCCCTCCGCTGCGGCTGTCAGTCATTCTCCATTCATCATCAAACAGCGCGTTGCGTTTGGTTACGACAGTCAACGATGAAACTCTCTCCAAGAGGATTCAATGTTACTATTATTATACTTTATCGGACGGTAGATAAAGCTATATGGTTTCGCATAAAATGACTATCTTGCTGGACTGTATTGCTGTACCTTAATATTCGTTTCTACCGTGTGTCTGTTAGATCACAACACTGGAGAGCACTATAATTGTTCTTCACGCGCACATTAACTGAAATTTAAAACTGTAACGAAAAGGCTCAATAAACTATTGCATAGATAGATACTGTTACTGTATAATACACTATGCATCGATATGCCTTTCCTTTGTGCTTTGAACTTTTCTGCGCGCTGTGACTCTGTGTTGCTTCAAGCGCATCATTCTGCGCTCCAGATGCGCATAAGCGCTGTGTGCCGCACATGAGTCTTTCATAATATATCATAACACTTTTGCGCAATGAAAGATTATTAATAGCTTTTTTTGTTCTGTTCTGTCCTATCTATCATATGTTGCTGCCTCATTAAACAGCTGTGCTATACATTTAAAAATGTCTTAATTTTATAGTAGACTATATATAATAATTGATCTTTCTGATTTTTATCTTGTTTTTCATGAATGTATTTTACAACAATACAAAGAGCAATGTGTAACGTTTTACCTGATTTAGTGCTACACTTATTGTCTCTTTGTTCCCCACTAAATAATGTTTTTTTCACTAAATGTTCAGATTTTATACAATTATTGTTTTTCAATTATTGAGTTATCCACTAATCTAGTTTATAATATAATTTGTCATAAGTTATGATCATATATATTTTTTTTGATTTGTCGTTTTTATTTATAATGAAGTTGTCTGTATTAAGTAGATTGTGTTTAACACACAAAAGAGTGATTATCAGTTCAACGCAGAGTTATAAAAATTCTACTTGATTTAAAAAAAACTGCGCTGGTATTGGACCGGTATCGGTTGATACTCCGAATTTTTGGTATCGGATTGGATCGGTTCAGAAAAAATGATATCGGGACATCCCTAATATTTTCTGGTAGGCTATATCTAAGTTACCCAGGAGCTCTGTTGACATAGGCTTAGCTTGATGAATTGAGTCGTTGAACACAGCAGGAGAGAACGCAACGTTAGCCAGCTAGCTAAAGCTCTGGAAAATTAATAGCTAACGCTACGGAGGCCATAATATTTTTGACTCATGGCTGAAGTTAAGTTTCTCCAGCTCTCCAGGTTGGCAAAAAAATGAATCTCAAAATGCATCAGATTGATGCTTTAAAATACGGAATATTTAAAATTTTCTTACGGGGGAGCATGCCCCCGGACCCCCCTAGAGGGGTAATATCCTTCTCAACTTTTGAGTGGGGACTGGGCTAAGCCCCCAATGTATCAAGACCCTAGCAACGCCCCTGGTCAGCATCATATTATTGGACGACAAATGTCACCACTGCATGCACTGACTGCTGACTGCACTTTTTACTTTTTGATTGAAGTGTTGTCATCGTTCGTTGCCTAAGCTATTTTAAATATTTAATGTTAACAAACATTGTTTAGATATGAAAAATATCGAACGCTACAAAATGAAAAAATTATGTTATATTCAATATTCAGTTCAGCACTGGACATCGACTTATTGAACACAATGCGTTCTTTTTTACTTCTTCTGACATTTTATTTTACACATTTTATAGACATTCGGGGGGAAATTGAATCAGATTCATATACAATACCTGCTGTCAGATGTGTTTAGCATCATTCTTGCGTTCTGCAACTTCATTTTATCTCTAAGCTGACCAACACAATTTTTTCCAAATCTTTTACATAGCCTAACCTTTGCTATAGGCTGCATGTCAAAACCCGTATACTGACAAATACCAGTCTGAATATATGTAAACATAACAGTTAGGTTCTACCCCAAATCTAAACATTTTAGGGAGTTTGTCCTTGAACTGCCCCATGTTTTGGGTTGGTGGGGGTTATTTCACATACAATAAATAGGTCTACATATATTATTATTTATTATTGAAAGCATGGGGGTGTGTGGAAGCACTGATTTTATTCACTTGGGATTGGCCCAGATGGCTTGGAGGTGTTCTGTTAAATCCTAGGGATAAATGGATTAGGTGTAGGTCAAAGTGAGTCTGGACGGAAGTCATTCTAACCGCGCTTCTCACCTCTTCTGTAGTCCCTTACCAGAAATATGCAAAAAAGGGAATATGACAGCACCTACAATCAAGGTCCATGGATTACAAGCCCTTATGCAACTATGTGAGATCTGAGCAGGTAGGTTATGTAAAGAGGGATAGGGATGTGGAAATTCAACTGAAAAAGACATTATATTATTCAAGCTATTATTATTTGTTTATGTTCTTTTGCAATAGCTAATGTAAGTATCTATCTATCTATCTATCTATCTATCTATCTATCTATCTATCTATCTATCTATCTATCTGTCTGTCTGTCTGTCTGTCTGTCTGTCTGTCTATCGAAATTGTTTATCGAGTAGATACTGAATTTAAGCTGTAATTAATTAAATAGTCATTTTCAATATGCAATTTATAAACTCACTGAACAATAAGCTTGCACATTACATTAAACTCAGAAATAATCATTTTAGTATTTACAAGAATATGGTATCAGAATATTAGTATATATAGTATTTCATATATACATATTTCAAAGCCATTTTCATATGTAAAGTGTCTGTGCATTAATTTCTTACATTTTCATCTTGATTTCAGTACCTGCACTATTGTGCAGCCAAGGCCGTCATCCAGGAGTGTAAAAATACCTACACTAAGCTGCTTATGTGACCCTCTTGGCCTTCTCTCCCAGTTCACTCCCCTCCCCCCCGTGGAACATGTTCCCTGATCTCTCACATTTACCCAGTATGTTATATCAATGTAAATAAAAAGCTTCACACATGGACGTAAAGATTTACTGCTGAGACGGTAAAAGTAACACTTTCCATTGACAATGGCAGTTTTAAAAGTGACATTTACGAAGACAAGCAGAGACAAACTGGCCCAGGTTTTATGGGTGCTGAATTGGGTGTCTGTGGTCACGGGAGTCACACTCTTCAGCCTGGGCTTATTCTTAAAGGTAGAGATCGAGAAGAGGCGGGAGCTGATGTCAAAAGAGATCGACTCTGTGCCAAACATGCTTATATGTGTTGGCTTGACTGCCTGTGCGATCAACTTCCTGGGGGGCAAGATCTGCTATGACTGTGTGGACACCACCAAGTTCCTGCGATGGAAGTTGCTGATGCTGCCTTACATCATATGTACCTTTTTCTTTACGTTCTGCATCCTCGTGGGCGCCCTGATGTGCTATAGCATGCGCAACGATCTAGAAGAGTCGCTGTTTTTAGGCCTTCGTGACGCCATGCGCTACTATAAGGACACGGACACACCGGGTCGCTGCTACATTAAACGCACAATGGACATGCTGCAAATGCACTTTCAGTGCTGCGGCAATGGAGGGTATCGGGACTGGTTTCACATTCAGTGGATTAGTAACCGCTACCTGGATATGACCAATAGCGAAGTGGTGGAGTAAGTCAATTTAGTCAATGCACTTTCATGTTAAGGGGTTAAAGGCATTGTCCACTCAACAATGAAAATTCTGATATCATTTAATCACATTCATGTAATTCCAAACCTGAAAACAAAATTAAAGAATCTTTTGACTGTTTTTGTCTCTACAATAAAAGGTAGTGGTGTCCAAAATAACATTGAACCCCATTGAATTTCGTTGTGTGGACAATTTCCAATGTTCCACAGAAGAAAAAACTCATACAGGTTTGGAACAACATTTGGGTGAGTAAATGATGACATCTGTAATTTTCATTGTGGTTTAACTATCCCTTTAACAGATGATGCTAGTTGAAGTTGAAGTTAAAGTTGAAATAAAGCTGAGGATTATATGCATTTCAATGCACCCTAATATTTCAGAGCAATGCATCAACCTTCATCATCAAACATTTTCTTTACTCTTATTCATCTGCGTATGCCTCCAAGCATTATTTAATGCACTCTTCTCTTCTTCAGGCGGCTGCGGAGTAACGTGGAAGGGAAGTATCTGATCAACGGAGTGCCGTTCAGCTGCTGTGGTCTGCATTCTCCTCGGCCCTGTATTCAGCATCAAATCACCAACAACTCAGCGCACTATCATTATGACTATCAGAAGGAGGAGCTGAACCTGAACCGAAGGGGTTGCAGACAGGCTCTGCTTGAGCACTACACACAGATAATGCAGTCCATTGGCTTAATCGTTCTCATCATTTGGCTTTTTGAGGTGTGTGATATTGATCATTTGGTCAAAAGTTGGGAATAATTTATTTGGAATAATTGAATAAAATAAACTGTACAAACAGTAAAATTGTGAAATATTATTATAATTTAAAATAACCTTTTTTCTATTTAATACTTGTGATGGCAAAGCTGAATTTTTAGCATCATTACTCTAGTCTTCAGTGTCACATGATCCTTCAGAAA